CAGCGACCAGAGAGATGGAGGTGCCGGAGGAAAAGGCAGGGGAATTAAAATCCACAGATACTCAGAGAGTAGCTAGAAAAAGAAGGTCATACTTGGCAGGGGACCTTGTCTGAGGGTGGGTCTATAAACGAAAAACAGTGTATTTTGACAAGAAACATTCAGAGGAGACACATGCTTAGGGGATTCCTTGGCAAATCACCAAAAAAGTCCATGTATTCACAGGAAAGTGAGGCAAGGATATGCCTGGAAAACTCTCCTGTCTCATAGAGAGATCATTAGCTTCTGAAAGAATTAATAAAGCCTGTGCTGGTTTTCTCTGGAGGACACAGCCTCCAGAGAAAGGGGTGGTAGAGCCCAGGTACCCCAAGAGGTGCACTGTGTGACAACTCATGGCTTGGGCCACAGGGCCCAGAAATTCTGTTGTCCTGAAGGGGAAAGGCTGGGAGCAGAGAGGTCCCAAACACAGTGTGCTACAAACCATCAGGGGAGGCTCTCTGGGATCTGTGACCCCACACTCTTCCCACCTGGACAGCGTCGCTTCACGGAAAATTATTCCTTCTGTCACAAGTGATGCCACAGAAAGCATGAGCTTTTATAACTACATTACAAACACATGAACATATCTTTAATAGAGGGTTATACAAAAATATGAATTACCAAGAATGGAAGGTATTTACCTCGTATAGCAGAACAACTCAGAGAGAGCTCACAGCAATTCTCTGAGTTAAAAACACTAATCAGGGCTACAAAATGGACAGGCTTCTGATGAAAACTCTTGTTCTGCTTTCTAACAAAACTTCAAGGTGGTATCAAAATTTCCAGTGACATCAAGAAGCTGGGGGTTGCTGTGGTATACAGGGATTTGGACCTTCTTTTCCACTGGAAGGCAATGAGACATCTGCCACTGAGTTCAGTGGGAGTAACACTGGAGGCTCTGGCAATGCCCTTGGGTATTCCACACTGCCTGTCAGGAGCTTGGACTTCTGGTGCAGGTTTGCTTTCCAAATGTAAGAATTGTCTCACTCCCTTGGATAAATACAATTTGCAACTCACTTTACGGATGTGCTGGAGGTTTTGCAGCCCTTACAATCTGTCATATAAATACACATTCAAGTGTCAATGTGTGAAGGGGCTGCTTTAGAGGTCCTCTGGGTGAAAACAGGAATGGAATTTCTAGAGGAAATGCTATCAAAGATGAATAATTTGTCTACTTAGCCAGTTACTTTAGAAATAAGACGCTGATGGTAAGAGTCACTAGAAATCAACAGGGTTTTTTTCTCTTTTTTACCTGTACCTCAGAACTACAAGAGTTGGGAGTTTCAGTAGGAGAATTTGCTGAAAACAAACTGAAATTAAGCCTTAGTCAGATCCAGGTAAGTCAACATCAGCCTCCTTGTACCTCCAAAGCTTATCAACTTTATTGGTAATTTTGGGTATGCATGGAAAGCGGCCTCAAGTAGCTATACAAAAAGGGAATAATAATGTAATTTCTGAGGTAATTTGTGTGACCACTGACATTATGCTGTTGGTGATCACAATTTCTTTTTTATGTTTCTCATCTCCCTTTGCCCTTCACCCTCTGAAAGGCCAGCTCTTCTTCCTGTATGCTGTTCCATTCAAAAAGCCAACTGGAAAGGTATGTAGTGCCTAAGGTGAGTGCCAGTGGTTTAAATACCACCTTTGACAGTGGCTGTTTAACTCTCTTCTCCTTTGTCACGCCAGTTGTGCACTGCTCAAGTTCTCTCCTTTTTTAGATGAGAGAATTTATGTAGCCCATAAAAATTTACTGGAAAGAGGATGGCTACCTCCTTTAATGCCTAATCTGGCACCCTTTACTTATGCAAATTTAATCAGTGGACAAATGCTCTGGTCACAGCAGCTGCACTAATACAAACAACATCAAAGACTTTGCCAAAGTTGCTCTGAAACAACTCTGGGATCACTGAAATGCAAAATTTGGCCTCTGGCTTCACATTAACAGCCATTCACTCACTTGAGTAAGACTTCCAGAACTGGGTCCTTTTTCTTCCCAAATTAGAGCCAACCACATATCTAACCTGGGAACAGCCAAACAGAGCCAGCTGAGAGGGCAGAGCACAGTCAATCCTAACAGATTACAATAAGAAATGTATCACGCTGCCTGCTGTCAGGTGTAATTTATATCATACCAGAGGGGTGACTGCAGAGCAGGTATGGGCAGGAACTGGTCATATCTATACTTGCTCCTGCTGGGCCCGATCTGGCCAGCTGCTGGGAGCTCTTCCCTCTCACTGAAGTCAATGTGGACCGAGTTTGTTCAGGACCAAACAGGACTGGACCTCCTCAAAACACTAAGGAAGTATAAACACAACTTGATTTTTTCTGTTTCCCATCAGCATGTGGTGTTTCTGTGCATGCACACCCAGGCTGTATTTATACACATGCTCACAGTCTAAACATCCATGTACATTATCAGCTAAAAATCCTACAAGCTAAAAGCCTATTTAGGATTTGGGAGCACGGAGAAAGCAATAGGGATTGTAACACAAATAAACAGGAAGTTTATTCCCACAGCTTTCAATTTCAGTGAGCCCACACTATTTTATGTGACTTCACTAAGATTTAGCAAAGCACTTCAGCATATGCTTACATCTTCTGCTGAAATACGATCTACAAATTTGTGTGACTTCTTGGATTTGAAGCTTTTAAACTCGTGCTCAATTCAGGAGTTTGATGTGCTGTCCAAAATAATGCAGAAAGCTCTGTGAATGGACGAGCATGGCCATGCCTCTGGATGTGGCCATGCATGTTACCTCTGAGCACAAGCTAACAGTGCCCCGGCGTTATTTCCAGATGTTTTGCTCAGAAAAGCTACCTCCTCCTTCCTGCACCTGTGAGAGACCCAGGAGTCCTCTCCCAGCCAGATCACTGCAAGGACAGTCTGTGCCATATGGCAGATACACAACAGGGCAGGGAAGCACCATCAGGAGCTCCAACCATTCCCACTGGAATAACTGCAAGTACTCTGCCTTAACCAGGAATGAGAGCAGGCCAGACTCAGTGGGGGGTAACAACCAAGTCTATTATGCAGTGCTGAAGAAGAACAAATAATATGTAAATATATATAAAAAGAAGGAAAATATAATAAATTATGATGTAGCCTTCGTCCAGCCTCATAATGTATGTAGCAATATGTCCTACTTGGGATGCTGGTGAAGGGTCTCATCCTGGAAGTTCTTACTTCAGTAAGAGCTGAAGTTTGAGCAGCTAAAAAAGCCTTCAAGCCTTATGAGATAACATAGCAATGCAAACAAAAGACAGCACACAGCAAAACATCAGGCAGCATGGGAGCTCTGGTCAGTCACAGTTTTGTACTTTCAGTTTAAACAACGTACAAAATCTGAAGAAATATGCTTCTGTTATTTATCAAACAGGCAAAAAAAAATTGGTTCAGTACTCTATTCTCTTGAAACAAAATCTGTGAATTTATGTATATTCTTCCAAAGCTTCCGTAACTGAAGCTTTTATTAAGTAAGTTTGATGTGGGGCATATTTTAAACATAGTGTCAGCAGCGATATTTTAAAACGTGGAAACAGATGTGCCACTCTATTACAACTGCTGAATCTTCTCTGTATTTTTTAATACTATGAAGCATTTGCCTGTTTCTCTGTTACAATCTCTCTCCACTGAACAGATTTCTTCTCTATGATTAAAATAGTACCACACAGACCTCATTAAACAAACTGTCCAGAAAAATCACATTATTTTGGTCTGCCAATAAAATACAGGTATTCTAATAATTGGGCTTTTTTTCCATAGAGAATTTCAGCAGCTCCCTTTCCTTGGAATGAAATCACAGCCATATGCTTTATGACATCAGAGGCATTTCAAGGTGTCTCCATAAATGTCATTTATTGCTTGGGAACCTGCCAAATCTGCAAAACCCCTTAGTTCTTTTAAAGGAAAAATCTTCAAATGAAACTATATCTTTACATTGGTTGTCATACCAAAAAAAAAAAAAAAAATTAAAAATCGATCACTTACAGAATTCTGGCCATGCAGGACAAAACCTCTGGCAACCAAACCTGCTGACCTGGGCTTTGGTTCGGTTTGGAGTCAACAGTGTGCTGGGCACCCTGACACTGCACATTCCCACCTGAGTATGTATGAGGCACCCTCTGAATTGTCTCAGTGACAAGAACATGCACTGGTTTAGTGACCATAACTGAATCAAAATCAGGTACATCTTAATATACTGCTCCAATGAATGTTCTTTAACCCTTAACAATGTCACAGGCCTGACCCTGCCCTATCCCTCATGGTGCCCAGTGCCCTGCAGGACTGGGAGCCAGGCAAACAACAGACACTGTGTCATACACAAACATCATCTCATGCCACATCTATTCATAATTTGGCATGTCTGGGGTATACTCTGAGAGAATACTGGCCAGATCCATACAAATCTCTCCAGACACGTCACCAACCTACCCAGCACAAAGCAGCCACCTTCGAGCATGCAAGGATTCAATCCAGCCTGTCCAGAGAGGGTCAGCCAGCCCTGCCCAAGGGAACAACTGCTGACACAGAGGCACACAGCTCCCAGTGAGGTCACGATTTGGACTGGCCCACAGAAGCATCCATTACTCCCAGGGTAGCAGAACCATTCTGCTTTCTTAAGGAATTAAAAACCAGGTTTTTTCCCCCTACATCTGAAAGAAAGAAGTTGCCTGGTGCAGTTGGAAATAATCTAGGGCAGCACACCAACAGGTGCTTCAAACGTATCAGCACAGCGCAGGAGATGTTGAGAGAGAAAATGAATAGGCTCTCTAAATAATACATAAATTTTACAGGCTTTTTTTTTTCCTGCAGAACCCCAGTGAAGTTACTGTATAAATCGGAACCTGAATTATTCATAAGCGGTGAATATAAAATAAATCGTACTTCGCACTGCAATATCCCTCACAGGTACCTGCCTCCTTCCACGCAGTGAACAGTGAGCCTGCAAACACCAGGCTCTTACCTGGAGTCTGGGTACTTGGTCAGGGTAGCCAGGCTGCTGGTGTACATGTGTCCTCCTACATCGATGTGCACGGGAGCGTTCGACTTGGTGAGCTGAGCTGGGAGAGGAATTCCTTGAGCAGCCAGAGGAGAAACCGGGGACCGTGTTAGAGACAGACGGGACATGCTTCTTCCCTCCTGCGGCGGGGAGGCAAAAGAGAACAGTTTCTCTTAAATGTAGCAGTGTGTTACCTTTCTTTCCATCTGTGATCACAGATCTAATCAGATCATTTTTGCATCTGCCTGATCACATATTCAGCTAACAAATTATTGCCACCACTGTAATTAAGTGTATTTGCATCGTTTTCTCCTAAGTACCAGAGGGGAAGAGAAAGATGCTTATTAGCAATAAGAAATCAAGAAAAAAAAAATTTTCAAGGTGTCAGCCTCAAGGGGCATAAAACAAACTGCAAAATTCTAATTAAAGGTCGTGGGCTTATGTGTTAGATGTGAAATATCCCCTGACAAACGAATAACCAATTTGTGAATTGGGATTCAGGGGGTTTTTGCAAGTTTGTCGCAGTAACAAGACACCTCTAAATTAGTGACTTCCTCAGTACCTAGGGCATTTAGTTTATACATGTAGTAAATTTCACATCAAACTAAGATCAATTTTCTGGTTTATTTTCAATAATTGTGAAATAAATGGATAATTTTCAGTTAAGCCTTAATATTAGACCTAAACAACTAATAAGCTTTCAAACTGAAAGAATTAATGCCTGGAAGCAGCGAAAACAGAAAGATATATAAACTGACCCATGTTTTCATGACAAGATACATTAGAAAGTACTATACAATGCAGCATGTGAAATTATAAATTCAACAATCCACCTAATGTTTCCTGCCCTAAAAATACTGGAAAATTAGTGAAATTACTGAATTGAGTCCCAAAATCTTCAGCAAAATCAAATCCAAAAATACTGAAGTGTCTTAAAAATGAACAGGACAACCACAGCAAAAGAAAATTCCTCAGTTCTCTTCTGTAAGAAAAGCACAGCCTATTCTGCATGAAGCGTGTGTCTCAAAGCTGATTTCAGTTCAATCGGTGCAGACGGCACATGTCAAATGGAAAAAAACCCTTTCAGAAAAGTTTAGGAAAATGTCCATCCATTCTCCCCCTTATGGGGAAAGCAACATATGCAAAACATTACAGTTGAAGACATTTCTGAATATAATCTAATTTTCTTGGTATTTTGTAATTCAAGCATGCTACCAAGCACCCAGGCTCTTCCTTACATCTGACAAGCACTTTACATGCAGCACTGCAAAGTGAATTCCCATTTCTCCCACATTACTTTGACAATGTTTCTTAGAAATCTGAAGCTGGTCTCGCCTTTCTCTTAGCAGTATTTTGCCTGGCTATGCCACTCGATGAACACACAATTAGCAACATTCTTTGCAAAATAATTTCCAAGCTCTGGAGAAAAATCGTAATACATCTGAACGGCTTCACAAAGTCATCACAACATCTCCATTTACTGTATTTCATCTTGGTTAGCTCCTAAGAATTTCTTGCATCTACAGCACAGAAATACATCACCCCATTATGAATCCACATCCTTTTCTCTTCGGAGGCTGGACGGACATCTGCACTGAACACGGCGCAAGTACCAACTCTGTCCTAGGACTTCTGTGTCAGCCGATGCGAAATTGGGCATTAACATTTTTACTACAGCACCACCTTCAAGGAAAGTGACTGAATCCTTTCATGACTGAAGACGTTGCTTTCTTGTTTCCCACAAGAGCCTGTTGTGGCCAATCTTCAGTAAATATGTCATTTAGCATAAATAAAAGAACTAAGTTTTAAAAACAACTTAGTCTGTAAGTACCTACAGTATTCTAGCGACATGTTTACTAATCTGTGGGTGCCTCATCTGTCTGCCAACACAGACAAAGGTTGCTGTTTTTTTTCTTACCAAAGAGCACTGTAAACTCATGTTCAGTCTCTACTCCTTCACTTAAATGAAAGGGTCAGAAGATCCAGGCTGAATGTCAACCCTGTCTTTGTTCAGACCTCAACCATTATCACTAATGATAAAGGTACTGACTTCGCATGGTACAGGGCTGCCTTAGAAATAAATCTCATGCAGTTTCACAAAACAAGAGTCTAATTAGGGCTCATCTGCACCCCTTGTTACAATTTCCAAATGAAATCAAAGGACTTCCAGTCCTCTGTAAACGTGTCTTACATTTAACCATTTGTCTTGAAATACAGACTTCAATTTTAAAATATGCACAGATAGCTAAAGATCAAGTGATATGAATCTATTTGTGCATATTTAAACACTGCTGCTATCTTAGGATTTTGTTTAATGTTAGTATACCAGTAAATTCCTTGATCTGTAAAGACTGAGATTCTCAGTGAGGCCATACTCACACAGTAGATATTTAATTTATACTATTCACTGGAGGGACCTTTTGAACAATCCTCTGCTTTTGGCATTTCTCAGCTAGAGCATGTGTTGAAAAAACACTTAATTATAGAAAATCACTGGAAAGCTAAAATAGTTCTCAAACTTTTATGGCTTTTCATACTTATTGAGGGTGCCACTGGCTTTCTAGGGGAGAGGAGGAAAAGGGGAATTAAAACACTGGCTTTTCCCCTGGTTGGAGAGGATTCGTACTAAAAAAATGAATCCTAGATTTTTATTAAAGTTGTGGAATTCAATCATTTCCGTATGAGCAAATTATCAAGGGGCACAATTGCTAAGCACTACATAAAGGGCACTGAGAACACTCCTATTGCTCCAAAAAAAATATAAATACCCCGTATTTCTTAAGGTACCGTAATCCTATTTCTAATGACTCCTTCCTCTTCTTAATGTAAAATGCAGCTAAAATTCATCACACTGAGTAATGTACTTTTTTTATGCACAAAGCAAAATCCTAAATGTATTTATCCAGTGATAGTCTTTATGCACATATTTTCTAATATGGATGTGAAAATTAAAACCTTAAGGGTAAATATCACAGAAACACTAACAAACTTCATTTATTAAACCATGTAAAATAATCCTTGCTCTTTAGTTGCCTACAACAGGATACAGCATCCCAACTAGTGGCACAGGCAATAACCCTGCTCTAATAAGTAACACAGGAACCTGCTGAAGGCAAAATCAATAGAGCCTGATTCCCAAATTATGTGAATATTTAGTTTTTCAAACATTACACACCAAGATCTTTCAGAGCCAGCTTATCTTTTTCTGCCTTTCTAAGCTAACTGCATAAGTACTGCTTGTAAAAACTATTTGCCCATGCAAAGTGAAATAATCACAATGCCATGCTCATTTACACACAAAATGATTTTGTGTCCCATTGTGCTCACAGTTGTTCAGCTCTCTAGGGGTGATTAAACTAGCTATGCTGCTACAGCTTGAGATGATTTCACTGAATCGTTTCTCCATGAAGTTGCTTCTTTGCTAAGCTGTTATTTTAACCATAAAAGGTAAACAGAAGGCAGTTGTAAGAGCTCCATTCAGCTCCGTGCCCAGGGCTATAACCCTAGGGCAGAGAATGCTGAAAGACTGCAGAATTTTCCAGGGTGTTGCCTTTCTTGCTCTAAAGCCTTCAGGAATACTGTTCATTTAATACACACTCTAGATGATACATTTCAGATCCTACTAAAAGAAAGACTTCAAAAGTGTAAGAACTTTTGGGCGGATGAAGCTTTCCCACCTCTGCACATAGCTTGGGGCCATGGTAACCAATACTGCTGTTGATGTTGGGAAAATACAGGAGAAATAAACTGCACAGAGCAGAGCAGACAGATAGGGACAAGGGAGGTGAAAGGTTGCAGGAAAGAAACAGGCAGCAGTCTGGAAGGAGGAACGAGAAAAAAGGGAAAAGAATAAAAAAGGAGGCGGCTCTGAAGGAGGGACAAAGTTAAATCAAGGAGCAGGCACTTAAAAGACTACAGATGGGAAGCAAGACTAATTAAGGATGTAAAAGCGCTTTGTTTCTAAAGTTTATTGTTGCCAGGATAAAAATTAATTGAAACTAATGCTGTTATTCACTCGTGCAGTTTAATTCCTTCATGCACATTTAAGACGTGAAATGAAAGCGGCAGGTTTACGGACCTGCCATGGAGCTGCTCTCCCGGGGAGCCGGGGCGGGGGCGGGTCGGGCCGCAGGACCCGGGCCCGGCTGCACCCCCCCGGCACGGCCGGGCTGCATCCTCGGGGAAGCCGCTCTCCCTCCTCAGGGACCCGCATTTCTGTACCAGCGGACCCAGCAGGGGTAAAACCACCCAGCGCAGCCCCCCGAGCGCCCCATCCCCGGCACTGCGGGCCAGAAGTTCCCCCGGCGCTCCCGTGACTCCAGGGCAGCGTCTGCGTCCCCAGCGCCGCCGGAGGGGCACAGCCACAGACTGGGCAATTACCTTTGTCTGCCTAAACAGGGCCGGCGACCGCTCGGGTCTGCCTGCACAGCCACTCCGACACAACTTGCCTACGCCGTGCTCCGAGCCCAAAGACAAAGCGGGCCGGGGGGGCTGCAAACCTTGGGCTCGGGGGCTCCAAAATTAAAAGTCCATAAACATTTGCACACACTCCACGCTGCTTCACTGAACGCTGGACCGAGTGACAGAGGAGATCGTGCCCAAAACTTTTACGGCGGGGGGGGAGGAATGGGGGGAAGGGAGCTCCCTCTGGAGATCTGGTTACCCCCCCTCAAAAAAAAAGGGGCGACAAAATAGAAAAAGGGGGGAAAAAAAGGAAAAAAAAAACCAAAAAGGAAAGGCTTTCTCCTTCCTCCCCCCTTTGCCCCCCCGCAACCCGCCTCTCTCGGGCAGTCTCCAGTCTATTTAGTGCAAGTTTCACGTCACCCAAATGCCTTTCCCTGCTGATGGTCAGGGAAATCACCAGCGAGCAACGCACCCGGTCACTCAACTTCTGCCTTTTTCTTTTGAACACACTGTATGCCCAAAGGTAAAATTCAACCAAAAAAAAAAAAAAAAAGGCACAACATGGCGTCCTTTACTTATTCCCACATAACAAGAAAGGAGATGTCTTAGATGAATGCAAGAAAAAAAAGTCAACCCCGAATCCCCGATCCTTCACATTTTCCGCGCAGCCAATGGTGGTGAGCATTAGCCAGGCTAATGTATTAATTTTGCAGAAGTGTGCCACATCGCATGCAGGAGCAGGAATGCAAACTATAGCCTAGAGTGGTTTGAAGTCTACCCCAAACCAAGCCTTCCACTCTCACTGGCGCCAGAGTTTCATTCACAGCCCGCCCGTGTTTTCCATACGCGGCGCTCCCCCATTGTCGCCCGCCTTCCCTTTGTGCCGAGCCGCCCCGCCGCCAGCCCCCGCGCCCCGGCCCGCGCACCCCCGCGCCGCGCTGCCCTCCCGCCGCCCGACCCCGCTCCGCGTGTACCATGCGGGAGCGCGGAGCGAGCCGCGCTGCCTCCGCCGCGCCGGGGCTGGGCCGTCTTCAGAGCCGGGGCCGGGGGGGCAGCGGGAGCGCGGGCACCCCGGGCCGCGGGGCTCCGCCGGCGCTGCCCATGCTGGAGCGGAGCAAAACAAAACATACACACGCACGCACACACACACACGCGCGCACACACACACGCGCACACACGCGGCGCTAGCAAAGCGGGGCGGCCGCAAACGGGTCCTGTAGCTTTAAAAAAACACCCCTCCGCCCGCTCTTGCTCCCCGGAGCCGGCAGCCGAGTGAGTTTGAAGAGGCACTTTCCAAAAAAAAAAAAAAAAAAAAAAAAAAAAAGGCAGGAGCAGGCGCGAGCCGCGCGGTGCGGACGCGATGCGCTGCCATGCGATGCGATGCGATGCGATGCGATGCGCGGCGGGCGCGCACGGCGCGCTCCTGGCCCCGCACGGGCGGGCAGGCGGGCGGCTGCGGGAGCCGCTGCCGCGGTCCTTACCTTGAGCACAGAAGATATCTGCCAGCCCCCCTTTGGCTTTGGGCTCTGCCGGGGCTGTGTGTGGACGGGCTCAGCTTTTTTTGCTTTTATTACTATCTTTGCTCCGCAGATCCTGCTGTGATTATTATTTTTTTTTAAAGCTTCTCCGTCTCCTCTCTCTCCCCCTGTTTTTGCTGCTTCTTTTTCTATTTATTTTGTGCGTGTGTGTGGATGTGTGTGTGTGTGTGTGTGAGGGGGAAAAAAAGCCTTTAAATGAAACTGCCGAGGCTGTTATGAGAAGAAAGGCAATAATCCCGTCTCTAAATAACAGAGGGAAGGGAGAAGAGGAGGAAAAAAAGCGAATTCTTGCTCAGGGCTTTGCAAACGCCTGCAGGGCAGAGGATTAGGCTACAATTAGCTCAGCCCTTTGCTCTCGCCCTAGCTAATTTTGCGATGAAAATTGGATATTTTTCCCTCCTTTTGGTGAAGGTCTGCAGATTTATTCCCCCCACCCCCCAAGAATAAAATAAAATACAGCCCTTGAAAATGAAATAAGGCTGGGAAGGCGGCCGGCTCCCCAGCCCGCGCCCCCGGCGCCGCCGCCCGCAGAGCCCCTCCGCGCGGCCGGGGCGGGAGCCCTGCGCTGCCCCGCGGAGCCCCGCGCAGCCCGGCCCGGCCCGGGGATAACGGTTCGGTGTTGGGGAGGATCAGGCCACTGTCACGTCCTTCAACAGACTTACTGAAAAGAAGAAGGAGGAAAAGAGGGGGGGAAGGGGGGGAAAAAAGCTGATTTTAATCATTGTCATTTGGTCTGATGTAATATTTCCCCAGGCATTTTCAACTAGGCATAAATTTTCAGCTCCCAAATAAGTAACACAGGGCACGTTTCTCACATCTCTTGACTCCTCTGTTACAATTAGGGTAGCACCCACTCTGCACTTGTTGATAAACTAGATCAAGTTCAAAAATAAATAATAAAAAAATGGCCCC